TCTAAAAACAGCATGTCTTTCTGTGGTCATATCCTGAAATTTTCTCCTAAAAAAGGAAGTTCAACCTCACTCCCACTGAAGTCAGTGGAAAACCTTCCACTGACTTCATACAGTTCCAGGATCAGATTATTATTATTATTAAAAAAATATTCAAGTATTGCCCAATAGTGGCACCTAGCAGCAAGCAACAGACTTAAGTAGTAAATGATATTTGTGCCCTTTTATTCAAATCCTACAACAGCTTTAGTTGGGGGGGGAAAAAAAAAAACTTTTAAAACCTGACAGGGGCAGGCCTAGTGAGAGGGAAATGCAGGTACAAGAAATTCCATTCAGATTTGACTGAGCACCCATTTCCCATCTGTAGTTTGTGCTGTACAGCTCAATTCTGGCAGTGTGCCAAAAAGCTCAAACAGTCTATCCTTGGGCTAGAAATCCTTACAGCAAAAAGATTTCACAAAGCTGCTACTAATGTAATTACAGAGAGACCTGATTAGTGCATAAGTGTTACCATAATACAAATAAATAAGTAATAACCAGGAGGCTCTTAGCTGCCAACCAAATGATTTAGCTTGCATAGTTTTTATTAAACCAGTGCTTTATACTCCAGAAGCACTGGCAATACAAACTAGTTCTCCAGTATAGTAGACCAATCTGTTTTGCCACAGTGCCAAAGACCCAATGAGACCTTAAATGAAAGATACTCATGCACAGATAAATACTCTGTGGTTAGCATAAAAGGAGTTAACGTGAGAGCCCTCTACTACTGCCAGTTAAAACAGCTAGGCCTATAAAATCTGTACTGCAAAAGCTGAAATGTTCAAACACTGATGATATACAATTAAGGGTTATTATACCTGCACATGTATACATTTAAAATTTTTCCTTATAAACCCAGGATCCTGCATATTAGAAGTCTACATTAAAAAGTTCAACTTCATAATCTGAATGCTCAGAAGCTAAGAAATGCCAGAAACAAAATGATCCCACATGAATGCTCCATAAACTCACATTTGTGATTTTTTTTATTTATTTCTTTATGTATTTTTTACAGAAATGCACAGTATTTGAACAAAATAATATGAATATTTAGCCTGCAGGTCATAACATTGCTCGTGGGTTACAATAAGTTATATTTATGCGGGCATATATTTCCTGCTTTGACCTAAATTTCACTGAGTGACCAAACTCTACATTTTTATGAAATCATTATTCTGTAAAAGAGGTACAACCCTCTCTTACCCTCATATAGGGAGAAAAATGCAAACCTTTCCTTCTTGTTCCAGACAGGAAATTATAGATAGGGATAAACACACAGAAAACTCATTTTACCTTTAAGCAACTGGAGGAAGATGATACTTGAAATTTACTAAAGGCCAGTATGAATCATTAGCAGTTTTTAAAACTAGAAAGCATATGATAATCTAGCCTGACCTCCAACAAAATACAGGTCACAGTATTTTATCAACTGATTCCTACAAGTGATGAACTACAGCATCTCTTTTAAAAAGGCATCCAAATTTGACTGACGAACTACAAGACATTAAGACAACACCACATTCTGCGCAAGTTAGTCCAGTTATTAAATCACCATCACTGTTAAAAATCTTTTGTTTTAACTCTGAATTTGTCTAGCTTCATATATCCAGCCATTGGATCCTATTTTGCCTGTCTGTTAAAAGAGCATGAGCTTTGTTAGGCTCAGCAGAAGACAGGTTTTCCAGAACTTAAAGCATTTAAGCTGTAAGTAGATATCATTCTTGTCCCAAAAGAGAGCATGTTGTCTCCTGATCCCACAGACATACAAGACCACTCTCCTGCTTCAAAACTGCCAAAGCAGGTGAGATAAAATGTGCTATAACTTTTTCCTTGGATATTATGGTGTGTACCTGTAAAGTTATCCTGGGTCATTTGCAAACAAGCTGTCCAGGAAGTGTACTCTGGCAGGCCAGCTATTGGAAGGGCAATAACGCAACCTGGAAGGGCTACTTGTATAAATGACTGTGTTGCTTCAGTTTTGATCCGAATTAACTTACCCAGGACACTCAGGACCAGGTCAAATGCAACATCTCTTTACAGACTTCTTTTATCTTTTTCTGAACCATTTCCAACCTATCAATATCCTTTTCCAAGCATTAACATGGGAGCTGAACAATATTTCAGTGATGTTCTCGTTAATGTCTTGCACAGTGGTAACATACCTCAAATTCTAGTGAAGTGTATCCTACTTACATGAATACTGGATAACAGCATAACTCACTTCACTGCATAATATATTACTAGTCCCAATTTGCCGCCTATTGTTTACCTTATAGCCAACTCCAGTTATCTGCAATTGGATAAATAAGTGCAGAGTATCTTTCACCATGTACTACTTTAACTTCATTGTGCTCTGGTTCAGAAATTAGCAAATCTACAGTCCTTGAAACTGATGGACCCGACCCGTGTCAGCCTGGGGAAATGGGCAGCGCACAGCTACACTGAGCCACCTGTCCCCTCTACAGCTTTCCCTTGCTCTATCAGTGGCAAGGCTAAGTGCTTGTGACTTCCAACTCTTGGCAAAACAGTAGCAGAGTGCCAGGCACAAGCTCCAGCCTGAAGCAGCAAAATGTTCTACTCTAGTTAACTTGCCTATTTTCTATCTATGGGGACTTTTTATCATCCTTAAATTTTCCCTGAGGCTGAGGAGGGGCGCGTGCACCCAAAAGCTTGCAGAAAAAGATACTTTTTTTGCGATTTCTTAGTTGGTCTAATAAAAAGTATCATCTCTGAACCAAGAGTTCTAGAGTTTTGCATTTCTAGTAAATGTAACTATATCTGTCTACTCTGTAACTAAGTGTACCCCACTATACCAGAAAGAGTAAAGGGAAAGCAGCTCTCAAAAGGCTACCATTAGAAAACTGGAAAATAACAGGAGCTAGACAGTTTCATGGCAGTTCTCCCCTTTTTCAAAATTCTAATCATTAGCCCCCAAAGTGGGTATTGCAACCCTCGAAAATGAGGGGACCATGTCAGTTTCAGGAGTGTGGATACTGACATGCCGGCAATGACATGACAGTGCTGTGTACTTATTAAGCATTGATTACATTACACTGAGATAAATGCATAGCCTTTTTTCAGTCCTGAGGCTGTATTTCAGCAGAGCACACAATGTACAGAATACTCTACTTAGAACTCTTTCATTTGCTCCCAACCAATGTTACACATTGAGTGCTCGTGTTTATTTGGTTTTCCAGTCCTCAGATAAGCCAAAACTATCCAAAATTCTTTATCCAGTAAGTGTACCAGTTTTTCCTCCATTTTATGCCCTGCAGTGATTTGGTATAATGGTAATTTTTTTAATCAATTTTTTTCTAATACCAAGTGTTACATCAGTGAAAATATACTTACCACTCACTTTGCAATCTCATCAGTACTAAGTTTGCCTAAGGCTAGCTTTCCAGAAAACCAAGCTGACCAACATTAGATATGGCACAATTATGCGATTCCTTAATGTCTGTACCCTGTACTAGCACCAGCACCATGGTTTTGCCCACAACCACATGTAAGACTAACCAGTCTTTGAATACACAAGTTGTCATGCTAACCATTTTTTTTTAAATGACATAATAGCTTTTCTCCAGTTTTCTGCAATCTCCCCCATTTTTTGTGATTTGTATAATATCAGTATCAAAAGCTAAGGGTTTTGGCTCTCCTTAAGACTTTTAGGCACATTTACCCAGCCGATTTAAAAATCAGTTTTATATACAAGATCCAAGAACATTTAAGCTAAAAAATCCCAGTACCCTACCACCTGAGAAATCAGATTTATCACTTGGGTGTGGCTGAGGCAGCCCCTCCATTCTTACCTTTTTCTACTACCTCTAAAATAATATATTTAATTCCTCAGATGGTAGGGAAGAGAAGACATACTATTATTTCAACTCTGCAGTTATTCCCTAATAGTAAAGGCAATGAACTGGTCAACAAAGCAATACATGAAAACAAAACTAGATTAAATAGTTATTTAATAGCATGCTCTCCTCCTGTTCTTTCCCCTCTGAAATACACAGTAACTAAACAAGCTGAATTTCAATGCATGTAAAATAAAATCAGGTCAAGTACATAAGGAAAGACATTTGCATGATGAATCTGATGGTTTATTATATTTAGAATATTAAATAATGTTGCCTTAAGGAAGATATCATTACCCACAACTTTAATAAAAAAAAAAGTAAATCCTTAGTAGAAAAAAAGGTAACAACTCCCAAATGAATACACTAGTAATTGTCTAATGGGTCTCTGCTAAAATTAAGCACAAAATAGTTCAGCACAAGAGGTTTATAAATGTGAGCAGAGTTACAAGAGCCAATTCTAACTTTTATTCACTGCAGACCCATCAGTTATGTGTATTTTTTAACCTTTAAAGTTGAAATGTTAACTTATCACCAGTTAATGAATTTGCTTTTTCCTTTCACCAACATCCATCAAAATCTAGGTATTGCCTCTGTTATTGAACTGGAATTACCATTTTCAGAGCTACCAGTGAAAGTATCATCACTTTCTTCTCTGGCTGAATAAACTGGAAGCAAGAGCCAGAACTGAGTATTGCCAATTATGGATTTCAGCCAGTAAATTTGGGAGTTAATATGTTTCAAGAGAAACCACTGCTTGTCTTTATTGCCCCCCACTGGCAGGCTGATTTATGCAAAAGGATAATGCTCATTTGAATGTTATAATACAGGGCTGTCCAAGTGGCAGCCCACGAGGGGTTAATGCGTGCTCTCCCCCTCCCACCTAGGCTCTCACCTGGCCTTTATTTCCCCACACTGCTCTGGCTGCAATAGCAGCTGAAGTCTTCAGGCTCCTTCCTCTAACTGCTGTTTCTTACCCTTGCCTTAGGGGCAGAGCAGCACAGGGAGCCAAGACAATAGAGGCATTTATATCAGAGTAAAAACAGAACTTTATATTTAAACATGGTATAATTTGGTCCAAGAGATAAAAAGCAATGGCATGCAACAAACCTGGTGCAAAGGAATTTCCATCCACCACAGATAAACCATTCTAAGCCTCTCTTTCTCTGAGAAACTCTGGCTCTTGGTAAAGTATGATAATCACTTTCATCATTTTCAAATCCTTCTTCTGACATCATTAATGGCATTTCATCCAAATGGGAGGACTCATCTTCCACTTGGTACCTGGTATAGTTGAATAAAAGCAAATGACATAATAGTACAAGAAGTGTATTGATAGTATAACAAGGTGATGAGTTTCAGATTTCACAAGGAATTCCATATTAGAAAATGGTTTCAATATAAAACACATGATGTATTTCTGTTGCAAACACACAAACAACTTGACTCATTTCAGTCTGAGCAAAGACAGATAATACAACCTTCATATTTAGAGTGGCACATTGTGTAGTCTGCAAGTAGCTACTGAACCTGTATTCCAGGGGTGGCCAACCTTCAGCACAGGGACCACAAGGCGGCATGGGCAGCCACTGCATGTTGCACATGGCAGACAGGGAAGGGTGACAAGCAGCATAATGGCAAATAAGGCATGAAAAAAAGCAAAACAGCAAATTGGGCAGCGAACATAGGAAAGGAAGCAGAAAGAAGAGCAGCAGTTCAGACAGGGAACAGAAAACAGAGAAGCAGCACAGGCAGAAAAAGAGGATCAGAGTGGCACTTGGGGCAGATGTAGGGATAAAGTGCTGCACATGCCAAAAAGCTTGACCCCAACTGTTCTATTCCTCATTTGATAAAGCAACAAGTATGTTTGAAGCTCCAAACTACACTTCATCTTAGGCAAAAGGCTATATCCAACTTCACCCTTTCAAAGGCCCATTCAAAAATTCTCTAGACTATGCATTTTTAATGTTCAGCAAAATTATGCAAAATTCCAAGGCAAATAGTGAAGTCACATGTCTGTATGAAGAGCAAGCCACACACATCTATCTGTAAGGCTATAAGATAGGACTTCATTAGCCACTTTCCAGCTAAACACATACCATTCTACTATCTCAAGTTCTTTAAGCACTTGTGCTGACCTCCAACTTATTCCTTTACTATCACCTTTTAAGTCTTAAAGCATTTAATGGAAAAGTAAGTTTATTACAACTCTTGTAAAGCAACAGTCAGCAAGTTACAAAAAAACACCCCTCTGCAACCTACCAAAAGCACGCTAGGAAAGCCATTCTAGTCACCGCTAGAAATGTTCAACATTTCAAAATATTAAAAGCATAACGCCGATGCCTAACCCTGACATTGATATCAAAAAGGTTTGTGCAATTTAAAAGGAAACCTGATAAAATAGTAAGTAAAAATTCTCTCTTCAATTTCCTTTGGCTAAAAAAACCCAGAGTGGCTAACAAATCCCAAATTTCAACAGATAACTCAAAATCTTTGCTGACTAATCTAATCCCTTTTCTCAAGGTTGGTTTTACAAATTAGGTATTCAAAGATAATGTTTTTAAGTACATTGATAAGTAATTCTAACCAAGAGTATTATCAACCTCTAACATACATGTTGGGAAGAACACAGTATAAAAGGCAAAAATACTATGAACGTAATGTGCAGCAGAGATTGGATGCAGGAATGTTTACCATGAAAAAAGTAGGATGGTATAATCAATTGAAACATTTGAAGAAGAACCAACAAGAACTACGTTTTCAAAAATACAATTTGATACTTTACTTGGATTTCTTTGACAAAAATAGTCATGCAATGGAGCAGCCTCACAATATAGCACTCAGACACATAATTTTGACACTACACCACACAGTAATCCCTAACCATATGCTAGGGAGTGTTTTTCTGCACCTGCTTTGAAGCATTTGTCACTAGTTACTGTCAAAGGACCAGTTACTTGACTTGACTTACCACTGGTCTGAACCTGATGTTAATTCCTAAGTGGTAATAAAAAGGATGCGTGTGTGAAGTCAGATTAATTTTAGTACCTTAAACTTAATCTATCTGAAATAATGCAGAACACTAGCCCTGCTCAGGGAATATGTTGATATCATATTTCAAACTGGCAACTTTCCCTATTTCTGTTGCATCAAGTTTCTCAGAAATGTATGCTTTCATAACATTCATATAAGCTGTATGCACATGTTGTTCCTCAAATTTTATGAAAACACTGGAAGAAAAAAAAAAAAAGCTTTCTAAGAGAAGGGTGGAACAGCTCAAAAGACTTTTAAAAAAGGTATAAAAACATGTAAAATATTGGTTTTTTTAAAGAAAGATTTTTTTCTCCAATTCAGATTGTTTAAAGAACCCAATTTCATCTCTGAAAAACAGACGTAATACTTTTAACAAAATCACGATATACAACTGCCATCTTACTGGAGACAAATTCAACAGATATTTTTTCTCCCAAGAGTTGCATCTAACTTTTGTTGGCTTAAAAATACAATTGCTAACTAATGAAATATACTATCAATAATCTATGGATGTATTCTTTTTTAAGTAGTTACTTAAAAAATAATATATATTCTCTTCTTATGTTACAAAGATTTAGAATTTTAATAAATTTGGATTATCTTCTACTTACTCTATTTTGGAATGTTAAAATAAATTATATAGTAATATAACTAGCTTATGAAAGTATGAAACTGTCCATTTAAGCTCTGGGGTTCAGTAAAATAACTAATTATACTTAAACTACTCAATTTACATTTCATAGCTTTATAATCCCTCTTGTTTAAACTTTACAACTATTACATTATCAAGAAGATTTTCTTTTATTACAGAATTTCTCTTTTACAATGTATTTGTTCTACCATTATATCATCCAGATAAATCATAATTATTTATTTGGTTACATTATCATAGTATCGATAGCAACACGTCACAATCTCCAAAAATACTTTTTTGTCCATATAGAGTAAAAAAGAAGGAAAAGTCAACTTGTGAAGAGAATACAGTATATCTTATTCAGAATGAGAATTGTTTTATGTATGAAGAAACATCAAAGAAAACAGTGTTAGAATCTTCCTTGAAAGAATAATTTAAATTTAAACACAGGAGTATTCTGGGAAACAATCCAATTTTGAGGTGGAGGAAGAAAGCTTTTTAATTGTTTATTACAAAAAATATTAAAAACAAAAAAGGTAAAAGTGCAACAATGAATAGCCCTCCCAAATGCTAAGCATGAAACACTTGTCAGCAACAAAAATACAAGGTCAAAGATTGAAACCCGCTCCCTGACCACCTTCATTGGGTGACACATTTAGGACTAGCTGTCCATCTTCCACCTTACAGAGTGCTGCCTCGATGGTCCAATGCAACACAAACTGATCCACATTTTATTGTAAGATCAAATGTACAACTAAAATGTGATGCCTGCCTGGACCAAGAAGCAGCAAAGTTGGAGGCTATCATTGGAAACAACCCCTGCGAGCCAGTTACTGTGATTTTTTAGGGTCACCATCTTGGCCTGGTCCAGCAGGAAACTGACCACGCAGATCACGCTCCTTTCAGCTCCTTGATATGGGATAGAGAAAATGTACACAGTCTCAGAGAAGTGCAAGTCCAAGTGCCAAAGAGGGCTCCAAGACAGCAAAGAGTAGCTGCAGCTGAGGGTAGCCCAAGAAGGCATGGACAAGAGTCTCCATCACCTCCTCCTTGCAGGAAGGATAGACCACCAATGCTGCCAAGTCTAGGTGGTAGATAAAGGTGTGCATGGCCAGGGACCCATGCAGCAGCTACCAATGGAAGTCACCAATTCTCTTGGCAATGCATAGCTTGTATGGGATGTGCCAGGCTGGGTGGGATTACTTTAGTGTTGCTGCCACTAGGCACTGCCTGTAAGTCATGTCAAGGCAGGCAACAAGGATATGGCACACTTTGACTGTCCATATGTACAGCATCTTCCCAGACAGGATCTCAAAGCAGATCCCACTACTGTTCTCCCTGGACACAGAGAGGAACAGCAGGGTATCAGGCCTGTTACTCATTGATGTCCATAACTGAAGAAATAGGCAGTGCTGAAAGATAAAGTGTTTGTGGGGAGGGAGGGAGGTTGTCTACTTAGCCACCATTGGGGAGGACTCGTCATGTGCGGAGGTGGTCCACCATGGCAAGCAAGTGCATCTGTGGGGAGGGCAAATTTCATTTCAGGCAAGTGGCACGAAGCAAAGCAGACAGAGTGCAGGTCTGGCCGGTCAGCCAGGGCTTTCTCTGACAGCCAGGTAGACTTTATGCTTTTAAGCTTATGGTGTACAGCTGGACAAGAGAAGTGATGAGGCTTGCAGGGGCTCAGCTTGGTGCTTCCTCTATAAGGATGAAAGTATTTTTAAATGTTTATTATACAAATATAGGGGTGGCCCACCCAGGGGGTGAGCATGAAACACTTGTCAGCAACAGAAAACCCCGTATCTCCAGAGACTGAAAACCTCTCACCCATACCCCTCTTAGGGTTACACATGTAGGACCAGCTGTCTTCCACCTTGCAGAGCACCCACTTGATGGCCCAGTGCAACACAAACTGGTCGATGTTTTGTTGCAAGATGGAGAGAGAGAGAGAGAGAGCGCGCAAGACATGCACAGCTAAAACTCAAAACTACTACTGTAAACATGATAACATTTAGAGAATGAATGGATGTCTTAATCATAATCATTTTATGAAAGTTTCATACCATCATATTGTAAATATTTTCCTCAATCACTTTCTATCTAGTTTTGCACTTAAAATTAGGCAGCTTCACTGAGTACTGAAGATAATGAATATAAGCATCATCATGTTTAGTAACCTTGACTTCAAAATGCAGCCTCTGAACTGGCAAGCAATTTATTCTATTGCAAAAGCAATTTTCCTATTGTGTTGGAAAATTTTACTTCAGTATTTAAAAACAATAAGATAATGAATAATGGATTTTTCATAGCCAAGATGAGGACAAAAATCTATTTCTTTGTTACCTAGCCATCTCGCATACTTAATTGCCTGAAGTGCTGATTTTCCTTGAGTGACAAACCAATTAAGTATAATCCTAGAAACTTTTATTAAAATAGGGGAGCACTGAAAGCAACATGAACAAAGAAACAAGAATGGAAGACATCAAAACTCACAGCACGGGTGCTACTAAATCAGGTATGAAGACAAGTATCTTGACAAAAATATGGCTTCCTAAGGAAAAAGAACATTAATATTAAACAACTCTCAACAAAACCTAAACTACTGTAAGGAATATTA